TGAGCCAGAGCCAGAGGGAGCCAAGCTTCCAGCCAAGATGAAGAGCCAGCAACCCAGAGATCACTGCCACCATCAGCCAGGGACAGCCCTCAGAAGATGCCATATAAGCGGTGAACAGCCTTAAAGGCCAGGGTGGGGGCCACAACTCAGCAAGAGGGTAAGATCGTGCCCGGAGTGGGAGAGAGATTTCACAGATGTTTTAATGCAGGATCGTCCACTCTGGCCAATCCAAGCAGGATGGATTTGGGACATGAAGGGTGACACAAGTAACCTGCCCTGTTCAAACACAACAGCTCGTCCAGTTGTACGAGGGGCTGGCAGGGGTGACAAGAGGGAGCCAAACAGCACTGGGGCAACTGCTGAGACAGGACTCAACTCTCCTCTGCCCTAGAAGAGTTAATCGCCCTCCCCTCACCCTCAGCTCCCAATGGTCCCACACCAATTCTGCCAGCACATTCCTCACCTTGCTTAGCTCCTTCCTCTCCTTCCCCTTGCTGCCCTCCTTTTTGGGGCTCATGGGTGCCGCCTTGCCACAACGCCCAGGCTTGGAGACAGGAGTGGAGCTGGCAGGCGCCGCGGGGGTCAGCATAGTCGAGGACATGGTGGCGTCGTGGAGGAAGATCCGCTCACTTCGGCGCCGGTTCCACAGGTCATCATCGCTGGCCTCCAGCCCAAACTCAAAGCTCAGGTCCTTGGGGGACTTGAATTTCTTCAGCTTGCGGCCTTTCTCAGACCCAAGCTTGGCCTTGTCAGCACTGCCAGATCCGGAGTCGAGGCTGCTGGGGGCCTGGTTTGGTGGGATGCTGCTCACCTCCAGTGGCCCCTTCTTTCCCCTCAGCAGCCCTGATGGCGACTTCTTCCTGATCTTGATCTCACTCTCTGAGTCGGTGTATTCAAACTCCGTCCCTAGGTGCAAAAGATTTAACCAGTAGTCAAAGCCCCAGCTGAGCCAAGAGGGCCAACATCCCGTTGGAAGCTTTTGGACTGCATGGGAGATGCCATGCTGGTTCAACAGAGCCTTTGGGGCTCCCTTTTCCAATCCTCACATCTGTCAGATCTGCATTTCCACCCCATAAAGCACTGATTTCCCTGAAAATAAGTCTCCCCTGCCCCAAACCAGAGTCTACCCATTCAGGCAGTATGTGCTCCCTGCCTGCATTTTCTGCCTTCTCCCACAACCAAAATCCTGCAGGGAAGCTTGTAAGACAAAATATCCTCTAACACAAAGAGTTCCTCAGCTGAAGCAAAGGACGAACCCCACACGCTGAGCCTTTCTCCCCTCCTGGTGTGAGTCCTCTCCAGTCTCACCTTTGTTTCGAGAGAATGATCTCTTTAACGAATTGAATAAACCCAGTTTTCAAGATTATTTTTTTCCCATTGGCCATCAGACACCACAGATCTTTTTATTGGCTCAGGTAATCGCCTTGAAGTCAAGAGAGGTTAACGATCTTTTGTCTGGGGCAAATGGAAATCCCCTCACATTAGCCTCTGCTCAGCATCATGGGCAGAGCAGTACCCAGAGGCCTGAAGTATTGTAGTGATGCCAGGATGTTCACCACCTTCGGTGTGCTTCCTAGAACCTGATAAAGGAGAGCAAGATCCTACGTTTCCAGGGGCAGAAGGGAAACAGAGGCAGCACTTACACACCCAGCAACATGGGCAGGAGCGTAGGCACAGCACCATGGCTGCACAGGTGCTGGGCTGTCAAAGGGATATGTGTGCTGTCAGAGGGATGCAAACAGCCAGGAAGAACTTGCCCAAGGTCATGCAGTAAGTCTATGTCGGAACAAGAGACTCAGCCCAGATTTTCCATTTATGTCTCAGGGCACTGGACCTCAGGGGATGGCGCAGCACCTCTGAAGATGTGTAGAAACATCAACAGAACTTGGTTCTCCCTCTCCAAAAAAATGCATCACCCAAAGTTTCTCTTGTATCCTCCTCCAACCTGCTGGGGATCTGCCCTCTCTGCACTCCCATTTGCGTGACTCTGCCTTCAGACCAGCAAGGTCTGAAATTAGGCCTCGCTTGGCAGAATCTCTTCTCAAGCCCAACAGTGCTTGCAGACAAAGGACATACAGGACCGAGCAACATTCACATCGGTAAATGAAAGTATACGAGGCACAAGCATGGAGAGCATCTTCTCTCGGTCCTTCTCTCTCAAATATGCTCACTTGCCTGGGTAAATTCAGCCTGCAGGAACCTGCTCTCATCTTCTAGCCAAACCTCTTCCCCTGAGACAGCCCCAGCATGAGCAGGAAAAGAGCAAGCCTGTCAGAATCAAAGCTGGCAAGGCTCAAAATGAAAAGCCCATTGGAAATTACATCCCTTTCTCCTCTCTCACTGCCGCATGAGACAATTTCTAGATGCTTCCAGTTTCAAGGAGGGCAGGTTACAAGACGATAAATTCTTAACAGAGGCTGTTGGAACAAGTTGGCAAAAGCCTAATATAGTATGGAAACACTGCTAAAACAAGCCAGGCTCCCAAGGAAGACATCATTTTCCATTCTGAAGCATGCTATAAATTCCATTATCACTTAATAAATATTAATAGAGAATTTATAAATGGAGCCCATATAGATCTGTCTGACCAGGAACGATGTCACCAATGGGCACTTGTGCAGCAGGGCATGGGGAACGGAAGAAATGAAACTGCCAATTATGTGTAACACACTGAAACTGAGACAGAGACGGGGACAGAAACAAAGGGTCTGGCACTGCAAACACAGGAGCAGAGGAAGGAATGCTTGTTTCAAGTCTCGCTGACCAGTTTCTGTGACAAAGCTGATGGGATGGACTGACTGAAGGGGTTTTTCTTCTCCTTGGGTGTCTCTGCTTCTCTGGGTTATCTAAGATCAGCTGCATTTAGCACATGCTTTCCTCCCTAAAACATAACAGCACTTCACTGCCTTCAGCCCTCTGCCCAACAGTATCCCATTGCTTGCCTTTGCAGCATGACTGTTCAGGATTCGCCAGGTAGGAAAAGAGGAAACTCTGAGGAAGCCACAGGCAACTGCCCCTAGGGAAGCCACGGCTGCCGCCGGCTCCCGAGTGGTTCTGGTTTTCTTGCCAGGCAATTCTCCCCACCTTCAGCATCAGGACCAAGCAGCCAAAAGCAAAGAAAGGGCAAGACAGTGTCTGGGTAACAACCTGCTCTCTTGGAGCACAGTAGGACCTCCTGAACTTTCTACCTTGCCCCCATGGCACCAACCCTGACTGTGCAACTCACCCATCAGGCTCTGCCGCTCCTCCTTCTTCTTCGCCTTCTGCTTGGCCTCCAACTGGATGATGGAAAGTGGAGGGGGAACAATGGGGCTGGGCATCGCACTGGCGGCAAACCTTGCTAGAAGGCCCAGGCCGCTCTCATCAAGGGCAGGTGATGAAAGCCTGTCGGTGCCATCTGTCCCGTAGTCCTCTGCTTCCTCCTCTTCCTCTTCATCCTCCTCTTCTTCTTCCTCTGAGCTAGAATCTAGCACGCAGAAAAGAGGGAGCCCATTACAAATCTCATGGAGTTGTGCATCAGCCACATTTCTACCCCAAACCGGTACCCCTCCTGCTGCTCTGCGCTCATTTAAGTAGCACTGAGCCACCCTTGAGCTGAGCCAGAAGATGCTGGCCACGGACACGCAGCCGTCTTTGCAGCTATATAGCCAGTATCACCCTGCCTGCCACCACCCCTGAAGGACACAGCAATACAGGGTACAGCAAAGAGGACCCATTCAAGGCGAGGGAGGGAAGAGCAGGGTGTTGGCAGAGATTTGAAAAGGACACCACACACCCCTTCCCTGCAGCTTTCAGGAGGAATTAAAAGCTTAATTCCTTTGAAAATCCCAACCTCGGAGCTGTGGGATTCCCCTCCCGCCCACCACCTCTTCCTCCATTACAAAAATCCATTAGCGTAATCAGAATCAAGAGATCAGCATGGAGGGGAATACCAGAGATCAGCCTGCGCCACGGTGGGAGGCAAGGAGGACAGAGAGAGGAGAAGGGGCAGGAGGCAAAAATGCAAAGGGTGGGAGGGAAACAATAATTTGAAAGCAATGGATTTGGAATGAGTAAGGAGAGAAGGTGTAGGCAGTGTTGGAGACAAGGAGGAGTGGTTAAACGCTCTGCCTCAAAACTCTCCATGCCTTTCGTTTCCCTCTCTACAGCTCAGGCTAGGGAAGCCCAGCTCAGCACAGGCAGGAAGAGCTGCCCACAGCCCAAAATCTAATTCTGGCAAAGAAATCAGCCTTGCTGCCTGCCTCGTCTGACACCCGCAGAGAGCAGTAGGCTGGGGTTTTCCTTTACGGTGTGTATATACAGCAGGTATTTTGGGGGTAGATGCTCTGAGAGTGGCACCTCTCCCTTCCTACAGCACTTCCCAAGAGGCTGTCATCAGCTCAAAGGCAATTAATTTTAACGGCATCTCATCCAGTTAGCACTGGTGAGCAAGAGTCACTACACAAATGCACATATATCACACACATACATATACACACACATATATGAGCACATAGCAATGTATGTATCTAACTGCAAAAAGTGGGTCTGGAAAAAGGTATTTAATTTCTCTTGAAATTGAGGGCTTAAGTAGGATCATCAACATTGCTGGAAAATTTCCACCGCTAGCAGGAGCCCTGCTCTCCCCAGCTGAGCCCACTCGCCAGCTCCCCGCCAGCCGCTATCCCTGCATCTGAAAGCCAGCCAAATGAGAAACCAGATCCCTTCAAAATGAGCTGGAATGAACGTGAAAATCCTTTTCTTTTCACGTATGCCCTCTGGGATAGATAAAAACGTCCTCAACACTTGGTTGTTCAAAAAAAAAACCCAAAAAACACCAACCCAATAACACAAGTGTTATTTTTCCACTTTGGATTATTTTCCCATGAAATTAGAAATAACAGGAATTTCAGAAAACAGTGTTCTCATCCTTGCGTTTTATCAACTGAAGTAACGGCCAGCTATTGGTTTTTGTTATTATTTTTTTTTAGCAAGGAGAGCTTTTCTCTGTAGCATACGTAAGATAGTCACAGAATATTGATTTTTAACTGCATAAAATTCCCTTCCCCATTTCAGTTGCTCGGGCCAGTTCCTTGTGATATTAAAATGCTACTAAACCTACAGCCCTGCAGTAAATACCAAGAATCCACAGCCCTGCTCACTCCTTGCATAAAAACCACATGTAAAAAAAAAAAAAACCCACAGCAAATTAGGATCAGATTCCTTCCCCTACCAGAAAAGGGGGCACAAATGCTGTTTTTCTGCAACGTTTTGCCAAAAAGAAAACAAATCCAGATGAACTCGGCTATTCAGAGACACAGAAACCACCTGCCTGAAAAGCAGCAAAACCGTGCCTGAGTTCAATGACACACCATGGGGTATTGAGACCCCCTCCACGCATCCCCTGTGGCTCTGAAATTCAGTAATTCTCAGCAAAACCAGAAAAAAAAAATGGAAAAAAAATCAACCCCTACAGCCCCTCATGCCAGACCTAGAGAGCCAACCGAGCGGAAAGCAGCTCGCTGAGCAGCTGGGGAGGAAAACAGGCCAAAAAAGGGGGGAAAGTTTGCAGGAAAATCCCTCCATGACCTGTCCAGCACGAATCACCCTTGGCTCAGCCGCACCGAGTGCCCGGGGGCTGTGCCGAGCACGGGCAGCACCACTCCGGCACTTGAAAAGACTCTGCACATGCAAGGGTGCCCAGCAGCTATGGTATTTCAAATGCACCAAGGTAAAACGGATTTAAAAGCCCTGATGGAAGCGGTTATTACTCACGCTACAGAAAGCGTACGATACAATAATGTACCTGGCAGTTATTCTAACCTCTTTCAAATATACGGTGTCACACTACGGAACGACAACTGCAGATAGTCTCTTGTCAGCGTTTTTACCAAAACACTTCTATTTTTATCTGCACGAGATTCAGTTTTCAGCCTGAAAATAAACACATTTTAACACATTCACAGCACAGATCTATCCTCCTCCACCTCTCATGGCGAGGGCAGATCTTGCTGACTTCACTCTACATGCACAGCACAATCCCCGCCCCTGATTTTTCAAGGGACAAAAACTAACAAATGAAACAAAAAGAACACACTTGGGGCTCTGCTCCAAACCCACATGCTTCTAAACTAAGTCCCCAAATTTATGGTCATGGTGGCAAATAAGCTGCTGGTGCTCTGCGGCCATCTGCACGGCTTCTTGGAGAGACTCATGATGCCTGCATTTAATGTGAAGCAGGAGTTTTACTCCTACTGTACCCAAATTATGTGTGGGCTTAAAATGAAGTATGCACAGATGCCTTAACACAATTGAAGCCTCAATTTTTTTTCCTAAAAAGGTGATTTTTAGTTAACAATGGGGAAAAAGACATTAAAAAATCACTTTTTCCTTCAGCAGTAATTCTGTTAACACTGAGCAAGGGTAAGGGAAAAAATATTCAAAGTTAAAAATAGCTTTTCTAATTGACATTTTTAAGAGCATGTATATGTGTGTATATACCCACACACACAACCACACGTGTACATACAACTCTACAGCCAAAACAAACAATAAATTCATATTTAAATGCTACTGATGCCAAATAAACTGGAGCCAAAGAAGATTTTTTTTCTAAAGTTTTTACCTGCATTAAATTAAAAACCAAACCCAATTAAAAATACTAAACATTGCTTTGAACAGCTAAGCTGCCGTGGCATTTTACTGTAGGAGAGCAGTAAATGAAGATTTGTTAATGATGAAGAGAAATTGGTTAAGCAATTTGGTTTTTAGAGATTGATGTAACAAGACGGATTGAGGGGGATGTGGAAAGGAAAGGCTTGGGAAGGGGGGGGTAAAAACACACACTTAAAACAGTCATTTCACATTGTAAAAAAAATAGCATGATTTTCTCATAACACCAAGCAGTCCTACAGCATACAAAGCAGGCTAAGTACAGGCAGACTTTAGACAGCTACTGGGTCATTGACATCTGATTTGTGTGATCTGTCCAAATTCTGGAGGTTACTTATTTTTGAAGGTCCAATTTAAGATTATACCTTTTTTTTGTCAAACAAGCCAATTCTCATCATTGGAAGATTATTTTTTCCCCCCATATGTGCTGTGCTGCTGACTCCAGAAGTACTTATAAAAAATTAAAACCATTACAACTATCATGTGGGAATGACTGTG